ATGCCACAATAGTATTCATTAGTGTTTATGCTTGGCAGTACTAATACTGCTTTATGAAACACATAAGCTAATTTTGCGTGGGCTCTGTTTTGTGTGTGGTTGACCTTAGTAGAGACTGTTGTGGTTAAGATGAATCCATCAGACTCTCTGTAAATCTCTTTGTAGGCTCTGATTTAATCATCTGCAGTAGCAGAGATTATATTCCCACTTCAAATCTTCTACACACTACAATTTTAGAGTACAATGGCATTTTTTAAGATTTTCTTCAACTAGAGTTTTATATAGAACTTTCTCTATATCTTCCCATACCATATGATTTAAAATGTATTTAAATGAATGCAGTGGTAGAAGAAAATGTATAATTTATATAGACATTTTAAAAAAAAAAGCTACTGCTTGAAATTCAGAAGAGCCCTTGTTGTCCTGCTGCTGAAATTACTTTCAGATTGACTTGCAATTTAAGCTTTTTTCAAGATGAAAACATATCCACAACTTGTAAAATACTCTACTAAGAGGTGTTTCATGTCAGAACATTATTCTTAGTGTAAACATCACTCTGAATGTCATAGCATAACAACACAAATAAGAAATAATAGGAACTAATAAAAGAAAGAGCGTTGACATAAAAATGGTATTTTAAATTGTGATTGTTTTTACTACACACTGACTTCCTAACTGATCATTTTTAACATAACTTTTTCTAGGTAGAACAAACTGCAGGAAACACCGTTCAGCAGACAGAGGCTGTGGCATGCGTGCAGTACAGCTGGTCAGAATTGGGACTACTGGGCTTCAGGGCTCTTGTGCGTGTGTTAGTTAGCCAGCCAGGAAAGAGATTTTTGGTAGGACATTCAAATATGCTATTCTGAATCATAGGAAGACGGAGAGAACGCTGACTATGGCCTCTAGCACTACTTATGATAATAACACAGTTCTATTACAGTCTTCATCCTAGGAGCCAGACTGATTTATTTCTTTTGTACATGCCCAGGAACTCAAAGCCATGATCCTTCTCAACAGGCTTTGCCATGAGCATTGAAGAACTCTATCCAATGATTAACATATTGTTTGGAGTTGAAAATAGATGGGCAGCAGAAGGGGTACCACCTGCTATTAAATCTTAGCTTCTTGATAGCACCATGACAGCTGCTAGTCTCGGCTCTTACACAGTAGAAGAGGAAGAGGAGGAAAGAATAAGCTTCTAATACATTTAGTGTTTGTATTCAGTGCATAATCTGTTTTCTTGACCAACAGCAGCACTGATGTTACACTATTCTGTGGGAGGTGTTCTTCTGATGAATGGTACTCCAGTGACTTTGTTAGGCAATTTTTTCTCTACTAAGAAGAAGAACCTTAACTCTGTCAGGCCTGCTAGTCTGACTGCTTTTGGCAGTGGACAGGAACATGATTTCCAAGGGAAAATTATGCACATTTGGTACAAAAGTCATTTGAGGGCTGAAGAGTTTGTGTTAGAGAGAAGGGCTGCAAGACAAACAGGTAAATAGAGATTGAGCTTTACTGTGTGATGAGACAGGAGAGAAGGAAATCAGAGAGAATATACCACTGCTTGCAAGGTGAAATCAAGAGAAGAAAGGGAACTTACATGTACAGGTGTATAAATATACATACTTATAGAAGTGATATAAATGGAAGATAAGGATATGACTTTACTTACAGTGAAATTTCTGAAAAGAGAAATTAACTTTAGTTTAGGATAGCAGTTATTAGTGACTTTCACATACCCAGAAAGTGTTTGTAAAAGCTTCTTCACTCAATATGCTAGAAATAATGTGGTGCAGACCCACCCCCCTGAACTCCAGCCCAGGTTTCCCTGCTCCTTCTCTTTGTTCTCATAAACTCAGTTACTACTGAAGTTTGAAAACTTCCCTCAGTTTTCCTGTTGAAGAAGCTGCTAGTCTTCTAGTTTTACTCTTCCAAGAAACGATTTGCTACTTTTGGACAAGAGCTGTAAGATGTATCATCTAAAACCACAGTTCACAAAGAAATACAAAAGAAGGCAATCAATTTAGCCAGATGTTAAGAGGAGATTCAGACAAGAGCTGTCATTAGCTGCTGTACTGGGTTCATGTTGCAAGGTTCTGGCAGCAGTGGGGCTACAGTGGTGCCTTCTGTGAGAAGTTGCTAGAAGCTTTCCCTATGTCTGATACAGCCAACGCCAGATGGCTCCAACATGGACCTGCCGCTGACCAAGGCCGAGCCAGTCAGTAATGGTGGTAGCACCTCTGTGATAACAAAGGGAAAAAGTAACTGCACAAGAGCAATTGCAGCCAGAGAGAAGAGTGAGAATATGTAAGAGAAACCGCTCTGCAGACACCAAAGTCAGTGAAGAGGGAGGGGGAGGAGATGTTCCAGGCGCCAAGGCAGCAGCAATTTCCCTGCAACTTGTGATGAAGACCATGGTGAGGCAGGCTGTCCCCCTGTAGCCCATGGAAGTTCATGGTGGAGTAGATGTCTGCCTGCAACCTATGGAGGACCCCACACCAGAGCAGGTGGATGCCTGTAGGGGCCTGTAACACCATGGGAAGCCCGTGATGGGGCAGAACATACCTAATATTTAAAAAAATCTTTTTTTCTGCCTGACATGCATTAAAAGCTCCAAAAATTGGAAGCTGAAATTGGCAATGTTCAAACTGAAAATAAAATACACCCTCTGTAGTTAAATACTACAACAGATTGCTGAGAAATACTGAGAAATCTTCAGTATCAGCTTTTAAGTCAGGATGAAATGCATTTTTTTGAGACAGTTTCTTCTTCAGTCACAAACTTGTGACATAGGCAGCAAGAGCTGTTTGGTGATATTCTTTCACCGCATTAAATAGCGGGCAGGTGAGGGGATTATGGTGGTCTGCTCTGTCCTCAAAAACCATGACAAAGAAAATCAAACGAGTAGCAGCAACCTAGCTTTTATAAGAAATGCAACTTTTCTTTTATTCTTGTGTTTGAACCTCAGCTTTGGACAATTAGTCAGACAGAGAGTTTAGAAGAAGAGTTTTAATCAAGGAATAAAATGAATATTTTACGTTATAAAGCTTGTATTATTTTCTTGCTGTCAAAGCAGTTCTGTCTTGGTCTGTTCAGCAGCTACAATTGACCTATATTTTCTGATATATTCAAATGAAAAAAATCACCCAAATATGCCCAGAAAGCACAGAATTTAAATAAACCCATGTTTTTCTTATTCGTTTTTTTTTTTTTTTTCTTTCACTTGAAAGGTACATTTACAGTGCAAGGTAATTCATTGTTTTTATTACCTGCATTAATGTGTTCAATATGCCCAATGAATATTTTTTCATTTTAGAGCCAAAAAAAGTTTGTGTGTATTTTTTCTCATCTTTCTACTAACATGCAGTAGTTCTATAAAGGCTGAAAAAAGAGGTTATTGGTTTTAAAGCGTCTTAAAAAGAAAGTAAATTTGTGAGAGAAAACCTTAAACCTGACAACTAAGTTGAAAAAAACCCCACATCTATCAAATAGTGATTTCCAAATACTAGTTTAGGCATATTGGTGATGTGCAGAGTCTTTAAGAAACCATGGGGATCTGTTTAATCTCATACTCCTGACTGGTAAATCACATTAAATTTCAGGTAAGTTACATAAAAATCTTTCTACTATAATTCTTCATGATAAAAAATGGTATCTACAAGAATGTGTCTGAGAGGAAAGCCAGTTCATAGGAGGTGCACCAAATCGTCACCTATTACGTGTGTAAATTTAAGCTAGATTTGGGATAAGACAGTTTGATCTGCAAGAGAAACAGTAGGATGCTGGAAAGTAGAAGGGCTGTACAAGAATGTATTTATCTGGATTCTACTAATAGTTGTGGACTCAAAAGTACTAAAAAATATTAGTGTTGATTATGCATTACATAGCCCATCCTAGTCATTCAGCCCCAGGCAACTGCTTTGTTTCAGATATCCCTCAAACACTTGTTTGCTGCATCCTTGATTTTTGCATTCTATATTAATTTTGTAAATGGATGTTGTACTATATTTAGCTGGGACCTTCAGTAGGCTTTTTCAAGCTCTCTAATTTTTTTGCTTTTCTACAATCTTACCTAAGGGAAATCTTAACTGACATGGCTATACGAATGACTCAGCAAAGTGGTAGCTAAATCACAGTCCACAGGTTATCTTGGACTCAGTACTTGAGTCTGTAGCCTATTGGTGTACCTTGCAAAAGCAAAGTTACTACAAATGCTGTGTATCTTGGCTAGATTTTGAGGACAATGAGTCCTTCCACTGTTAACTCTATCTGGTATCTTAATTGCTAAGTAAATTAATAAAAGATGTATGTTGCTGTATAGTTGACCAGTTTGTTTTCCCTGTTAATGCTGATTTATTTTGGAGAAAGGAAGGGGACAAGTCTTTGAATTAATTTATAACCCTCCTACAACTGAAAAGTCATCTGTTTTTAGGAATCAGACCTACTTTCTGCTATTTCCTCAAAATAGAGGCCGAAAGTACAGAAAACAGGAAATATCATAGTAAGGTCAAATTTGGTGTGATAATGTTTCTCTAAATTATTCAAATCAGCCAGCTATGTGACATCATCAAAAAGCAAAGAACATGGCCTGTTTCTTGAAACGTTTTTAAAATTTGCCTTGCACTAATGAAAACACTTGTTGCATTTGGTCCAAATTTGGGGAAATTATTTAATTTAGTTTCAGTTTTCAGCAAATCTAGGGCTGTATTCAGATTAGAGGACAAACTTAAACAATAGGAACAACAGCATCCTAAGTGGCTTATTTTTTCTTATTTTTTTCCAAACAATGGTTTTGTTACGGACTACTGCCTCTGCTTCTGATAAATAATACTTGTTGCTTGTCCCATGCCTATAACACATGACAGAGTATCACTGTCAAGGCCTGTTGTAATATTCAGCTAGTTGCCCCCAGCTAGTCAACAGATCAAAGTAGTTTGCAAATGAAGAACATTTGTCTGAATGATATATTTCTGAATGAGAATTGCTTTGTTTTGCAGAGAGTTTGGCCGCTGGAAAGTAAACAATCTTGCTGTTGAAAGAAGAAATTTCCTTGGCTCCCCATTGCCACTTGCCCCTGAATTCTTCCGTAACATAAGGCTACTTGGACGCCGACCAACACTTCAACAGATCACAGATAACCTTATCAAGAAATATGGGACACATTTCCTACTATCAGCTACCTTGGGAGGTAGGGTTAACACTTGGAAATACTCTGCAGGAGTCTGGTATGAGTGAACTAAAAGTGTTGGTCACAGCTGATTTCTCTGTAAAACTATGGTGCCACTCAGAGCAGCTGGGCTGAGCAATTCTCCCTGGTCTGGACTTTAAAATATGGGATCACATTTTGTCTACAAGCCTTATGGCTCCTTCTGCTGATGTTAATCTTTGCTTTATTCATGCTGAGTAAACAATTTTACAGAAAAAATGCTGAGAAATCCTAAGATCGAGGTACTTTACCCAAATTCCTGATGTGCATGCTCCTGGTCTTTTGGGGATGTTTCTCTGCAGTGAGATCTCTAAGGAGAGTGACATTTTTTCTGTAAGAGGCCCTTATAACAATTTACATAATAACAGATTACACAAATATCTAGGTCCATTATGATACTGCAGATATAAAACAAGAAAACCCATAACAATTATTTCCAACAAATCTAGGAGACTTTTAAACTACTTTGACTGTTAGAAATTCCCTATATTGTCACCCTACCCTTTTTAGAACTAGTCTCCATTTAACCAGTGAGACTAAATATTCAAAATGGAATGATGAGGCTTCCCATGTGATGCCTATTAACATAATGGAATCTGCATTTCTAAATCCCCACAGAATAATTTGGAAAGGGTAGCCTGATGTATAATTGGGATCCAGTCACCAAATGGATTGAAGAAATCCAGTGAAGCAGCCTAATATTCAAGACAGAGCATAAATTGTTCCAAATGGAAGATAATTAGTACCTGTGATTACCCATCTAGGCATTAAAAAACGAACTGACATTTTAGAAATGCGGTTATATCCCTTGGTGGGTGATTATATTAAAGATAATTCTGATGACTGAGTATCCTTCCAGCAGGACAATCTTGTCAAAATCCTTTATTCACCTAAGGAATGTTTCTCTTTAATACACTTCAAAACCAAATTCTAACCATATATTAAGGAAATTAACAGCCTTCCTATTCTCTTTTGGCTGATACCTGAGATCTGTAACAACTGACATGCCTCACAGCAGCTCCCTTTTGGAAAGGACCATTCTAGAAACAAGGTCAATTTCTGACTTGCTATAGTTATTCAAAATAATAAAGAGCTACTTCCTATCATGATTTTGGGAACTACTGTTCTACAGCAAATCCACTACCATTAGAAATTTAAGAACATATTACCTGTGTTGAACAGCAATTTGGAATAAAATTCCTAGAATTTCTTTAATTACTCAGTATTTTTCTTTCATGCAAAAAGTGAACTTTTTAAAAATGACTGTATATTTTATTGTGTATACAACACATAGCACATCCAAACAGAAAAATTAACTGCAGAAGAGAAAGAAAATGTTTCTTAAAATATAATGCATAATAATTAAAAAATTGGCTGCAACATGTATCCTAATGCAAGGATTATGAAATGGTAAAAATTATTTTTTTGTTTTATTAGCTATTTGCTAATTATTAACTAACATAACTTCCAGTACTAGCAGCCATATGATGAAATTGATTTTCAAGTTGAAATTGGACCTAACAACTCAGGGTAACAACTCCTCTTTAAAAGTACAAAGCACTAGTATAACACTGATCACAAAAGAGCTACAGACTTGATGCCTTCTAGGAAGCATGGCCCTAAGTAAAAACTAAAACTTAAGGGTAGTTCTTTTGAAGACATTTGAAAATTGTAGCTTAAACGTCCAATATTATCCCCATAGTCTCAGGATTTGCTACAGGGAAACTGGGGTAGGTTACCCTTTTCTCATCCCTCTTCAGACCACCTCAAAAAGGCCCTAAAATGCAGTAGCCGCCACATGCTTGCAAAAATTTTACACTCACAGTGACAGAGTGTTGACTTCTGGGCTTTGTCAATGTTTAATGAAATGTTTGTATTAACTTTGATGGGTCATGATTTAGGCTCCTAGCCTCAATTTTTAGACACTATTTCAGGCACATGTGCTGCCTTCCATTATTGTTGGATGGGTGCTGAATACTTCGAAAAATTGGTTCAATTAAAATAATTACAAGGATTTAGCAATTTCTAAGAATGCTTTCATGAGGTAGTTAATAACCCTATACTTTCCTGTACGTGTTGGTTCTCATTTTTGGGCTAGAATGAATGGGGATTCCCAGAGATGCTTGTTCACACTTTATTAATATATAATTAGATTTTTTCTTTCATTAATGTATTCATACTTTATCTTTAATTACAAGCTTTGTTGCTTATGTAGCTCCTTAAAAGCAGAAGACCAAACTGAGTGTGCGTATTACTTTTATTCAGTGAATCCCCAGTCATCTGTATTCATGGACAGAAAGGAAAGCTTGGTAAATGAACAATCCCGCTGAAAGATTTGTGTGCCTCTGTGACCATTTGGCTTTCATGAGTATACCTTTTTGACCATAAAGGGAACTCTTGCACACGGTTGTTTGTGATAGGTTCCCAAGTCTTTATTCACAAACACAGAAATATAGTCCTCAAGGGCATCCTGAAACGAGAACTTAGGGAAGTTCTATTTTTCTTGCTGTCAGAAGATAATGTGGAAAATGACATTTCTCACTGCTTCTGTTTCTTACGGAAATTTTAACTTCCTGTGACGTAAGGTGAATGTCCATAATCAGCAGCTTCAAGCTGCATGATATGGCATGATAGAAGGACTCTATGTAATCCAGAGTTCGCACAGTAAACATTGGATTGAGCAGTGGGTTCACAGGCAAGCTCACATGCCTGTGCACAGTATTAACTTCTTCTGCTTCTGCATTGATCGTCTGCAGTGTCAAATCTACAGAGAAAGGAGAGCTGTGGCTGCTCATTTTTGTTAAATTTTGTGCACAGATGGGGATGCTGTGCTGTGCTAGGCCATCACTAGGAGATAAGAAAATTTCCTGCTCCTCTAGGACAACACATTTCCTGTTTGCACTAGCAAAATTGCAAATTTACACAGCCCAGCCAACACTGACCAGAACAGCTTTAGGGAGAGGCAGGAGAGGACTCATACAAGGGAACTCCATCCTTGAAGGTAAGAGAAGTCTTTACTGGACAAGTCCCTGAGCATCTCATTTAACTAGACCTGCTTTGAGCAGGGAATTAATTGAACTGGATGACCACCAGAAGTCACTTCCAGCCTAAATTATTTTCTGACTTTACAAAATGTATTTCTAAATTCTGTATCAGCTTTCAACTAGCAGATCTAAAAGGCAAAGATTCTCCTCTGAATGAGAGACAACACACAGTACTACTTTTCCTCCTTTTGGTCTGCATTTATACTTTTCGCTTTTGCTTTCATGCAGCATGATGCAATGAATATCGAGCTTGCTGAACAATATACAAGAACATTAGCTGTTGTACACTTTAGTGGTTTACAAAAAACTGTGCAGCAATGAGCTTCAGAACTGGAAGTCATTGTGAAGCCTACGGCATCACTGTGGAACAAGTGTAGGAGGATGAAAATAGTAGTGGAACCCACTTTAAAGGCATTCACTTTAATGCTATTCCTACATACAAGTAAACCAAGAAACTTGGTGATGAAGAAATTACAGATAACTAACATACTATAATGAAATGACAGGCCCTTGTTCCAGGCATTTGGGTAACATGAGTCTGATTGGGGTGCTTTGCAAGATGAAGATAGTTGACTTCACAAATGAGTCCTCCCTACATCTGGAAACATGGTGACTGTTCTGAATAAATAAATTTGCAGGAGGTTGTCAAGGCTTCTTATGAAACTAAGAACCTTTTTAGGCAGTTGGCTAAATGGTAATCTTAAATGTTTGAAATTGATTTATTTTGGGTGTTATTGTCAGTCATAATTGCTCAAAGTGTTCATTGCTAGACCATCAATACATTCACCTCTCTGGGTCAGGAAATATTCCTTGATAATATTGAAGGCTTTGAGAATCAAAAGAAAAAAAGGTAGTGTTTTCTTTACAACAGAAAATCTTCACGGACATCAGCAGATCAGCTTAATCCCATTCTTCTCTCTGTTGATTACAGCTCCACAAGTGAGTTTGATAGCTACGCCTTTACTATTCTACACTCTGAATAAAGAGAGTCAGATTTTTCTGCCCCTGATTAGTACTCTTCTTGAGCAGTATATTATTCTGCATACAGAGATAGGAGAAATTGTCAGGTGGTGCAAAACAGTGAATCTCAATGAATTCTGAAGGATTTATGAACATTTACACTAACTGCTGATATGACCTTTGTTTTCTATAACACTTCTTTCAATGTAAGATACAAACTATTGGCTAATAAGGGAGGGAGAGTCCAGTCTCAAATGACTGATGTGAGAAAGAAATTTAAAAATTTAGCATCAGACTTGCAAACACCTCCCCCAACTCCAGGCATGTAAATTTTCCAGCATTTAAGATTATGGATGCTAAGGGGAAGAAAAAAATGCAAACCGATATTCTCTTTCTTTTCTTTCCCCATCTACTCAATGAAGAAAAATTTTAAATCTTAAACCAGATGATATGTGTGGAATTAATGTGTACTGTTATTCACTTGAACCACATAAATGATACCACGTCTGGCCTAACATCAATTTACATACTTTTTGAACCTATGCACTTCCATCAGCATCTGCTTAAGTTTGGAAAACTGACCTGATAAAACCCTAATGGTATATTCTGTGATCCATACACAAATAGATTTTCCACTAGCGCTGAGCTATTTTGTATAACAAAGGCATAACAATTTTACTATAATACATTACAACTATTGTAGCTGAGGTATTCTATTTAATCAGAAACTTTTGAGGAGTTCATAGGCCAGAGACCTTTATGCCTTTGTAAGATACATATATATGTGTATGAAAATAGAACTCTAAGTAGATAACTGTGGATGATGCTCAGATAAATTTGCCTTTGACTGCTATCCTTTCATTACTGTTTCCTCACTTTCTAACATGAAGTGATGGGCACTGCTTGGGTCACTAATTTTTCCTACCACTACTCAGTCTACAGATGAAAATATGAAATATCAAGGCATACGATCATTTCATCATTACAAAGGTGTGGGTACAGGAAAACAATCTCTCAACAACTGAGGCAGAAAATAGCACTAAATATTTATATCATAGGAATATGTATTATTATATAAAAAAACCCAGATTTACTCCTTCAATAGATGGTTATATTTAGTTACAGCTGTTACAGCATTATTGCAATTCTACCGTGTCGATGGTGATTTGCGTCTTTTATTTAAATAATTCCTGAAGATATCCTTAAGATAAACATAAAATTAATTTCTAATTTCTGAATGCTGCTTATAAACTGCTGTTTAGGAGTCTTATATCTAAATGGCCATGGATGGGCTATGTGTCTAGGTAAATTTGTATACACCTATTTTATTTCCTATATACCTATTTCATTTCATGCTTTATTTTTTGAAAAACAGCACATATAGAATATTTTTCTCAACTCAGGAGTTTAACGTACCAATACAAATAATGGACAATATGTACATATAAACCTAGAAAGAATTAAATGCATAGGCTAAGTTATAAGCTTGCAAACTCCAGGGCTTGCGGGGACATTAGTATTATTATGCCAAGGTCAGTCTATAGCATGAATGTCAGTCTCCTGCCCCCCGGTGGGTATCTGTCAGTGACAGCAGCTACATAGTAATAAAGCAACAGTGTAGTGACTCTGCTAATTTCTTGAACAAATCATTGGATTATGTGGCGTTGTTTTGCGAATATGACCAAATTTTTTTTGCTACTTCTTTTAAACATGAGAAAGTGAAGTGACTTGTGAATTTTGTGAAGTAGAGAGAATACTGCTTTCAGGGCTTGCAGAAAGCACAGCTGTGTGGATCCAATGCGGAATAATCATGTTTTCTTAGTATTGACTGTCATTAATCCTTTTCAGTTCTTAAAATTCATAACCTTTAATAGTTTTATAAATTACACTTGATTTTTAGCTAATGCTTGGATGTCTTCTTAGCCTATTTCATGGCAGCAGACTGTAATCAGTAAAAAACAAGATTCATCCATGTTTCAAATGTGACAAAAAAGTCTCTTTTGGCATGTGTTTAATTTTCTCCAACTTAAAACTCGAATTGTCTTCCACAAATTAAATATGAGTTGGTGATGTTACTTTACAAACCCCTGAGTTCTGGATGCAAAAGGGAGCCGTTACAATGCTACAGTGACGTGCATGCCTGAGTACCAACATATCGGGGAGTTCTCTGGTTTTTAATCCACTTTCTCTAGCAAGTGCTAAATCAGCTCTGACAGATGAAAAACTTCCAACATGTAAGATGTCTTTTGAGCAGCAAATATATTTGAAACGTACTTGATTGCACCTGGTATTAGCATAGTGCCTGAGAATACCAGTGATGCCATACAAATGAAACGCAGAGATTTTCGAGGAAAAAGACTGTCCTTTACATTTATACTAAAGGCCCTGTCACTCCAGCTGCATGTCTTCACTCAGCCTTGGGAGATGTAATCTGATGTGATCTGAGTCAAAGTAAACATTCAAAATCATTTCAACCTGGTTACAAAGGATGAAAACCAAAATGTATCTGTGAGGGAGCAGGGACGGAGGCTGCAGGTCTGTGGATGCTAGAGGATCCTGCCTGCCAAAACACACCCACCAGCAACTGCCACGGCAACAATGGGATCAAGCAGGACTAGGAAAATAGGATGATGTGATAACTGTGAGGGGGTTCAAAGGTTATTTTCCTGACATTTTCTAATCAAAACAAAATGATGTAACACAACACTGTCCTTTTTCAAGTTATTTTTTTGAAATAGGATTTTTTATTGTAGTTCTGCACTCCACCCCCTGGACAGCAAACATTTTTGATGGGAGAAAAATAAACAAACTTTATTTTAATAGTAAAACTTACCAGAATTCTGTTGAAATAGAAGCAGTCCCACAATCTCTACTAATAACTGTACAGATCAATCAAAACAGTTTACACCAGAGCAAGATGGGGTGGCATACTGGCTAATGAAACGCAAAGAACCTAAAAAATTTTTTCTCTCTACTTTTCAGAGATTTTCTGCAACATCAAAGGATTGTTTTCGTTTACCTTACAATTCATCATAAGATATTTTCAGTGGAAAGGCATTTGAGCTTGCAAAAGTAACTTTAATCTAAATATACTAGCTAAGACCTCTGGAAAAGGGGAAAAAAATGGAGAGACTTCTCCTAGTGAAATATTGCCCTTTATTTGCACAGTTTGAACTGGTCACTGATACAATATTTACCCCTGTGAGTTCTCATGTTGTCTGCTTTGATATGACTGTGTCTTTATAGCTCCACAAACAGCTGCATAAAGCCTATGGCCCCTGGCTCAAATCTCAGTCCACTCCATTGCTTTGCATTTCAGAAATATCTTTCGTACTGGCTAGAGTAACAAGGCAGGTTGTGAAAATTGCATAAGCATTGTTGAATGTCAACAATGCTGGAACCTAGACCAGATTTTGATGGTGAATTTCTCTCCTCAAAGTACAAGTCATTAGGCTTTGCTGTGCTTTTCCAGTTCTCTGCTCACGGCAGTTGGCATGGGTGCAGCAAGGTGTGAATAATGGCCCACCTGGCTACAGGACTGACATCACCTCGCATCAGTGTAGCATAGCAAAATGCCATGCACAAGTCTGCACTAATGCAATGTGCTTGCACCTGCCCTGCCAAGCAACCCCAGCCTGCTTTGCAGGAGGTTTTGTCAGTAGTTAGATAAAATGCAAACCTATGTCTACTTATTACAGCAGAAAGATTAGGTAACTGGATGGGGAAATCCTGCTACTTATGGAGGTTACTTTAATTCCTGGTTCTTTGGAGTTCAAGCAATTAATCCCTGCTTTGATGACTGCATGAACAAAAAAATGACCCGTTATGAAACTGTAGAAGTAGTATAAATATAATGATGAAAACTGAGGTAGGTTCCAGCTGGAATAGCCAGCTGTCTTGGGGAGCAGATGTCCCTTCCAGGACAAAATGATCATCCTGGTCAAGCCTGGCAGGTCTAATTAGCTAAGAGGTTCCCGGATAGTGGCAGTTTTGCCTATGTAAGGTCTGAAGGGCCTGCCTGTCCTCTGAATTTGTGAGAGATTGGGAAACACTGTAAGGTACACTGATTAACATGAATGCATTCCTCTTTCTCCAAACACAAATTAATTTTGCAAGCTGAGGTACGTGTGTGTTAAATTTCTCAACAGATGTGCTTTCCTGCATGGAGACATGTATTCTACATTTAGTATTCCTTACGACCAAGGTTATTTTCCTTTAAAGATGATGTCATCCTACTTATTATCCCTCTAGAGCTATTACTTTTTGGCATGTAAGCCCATCCAAACCTGGCATCTCATCTTCTGAACAGGCAAAATGCCACTGTAGCAGATGGGTGAGCAGTGAAACTAGCACAAGTGACAAGTCAGACCCTATCAGGGTAGCTTCCTTTCCAGGAACAAGGAAATGGCATTCAGTGGAGTTGTTCAGCACCTGAAATACAGGTATAAGGATACTATTAAGTGATTCTTGAGATTAATATTGAAGAATGCACGTTACCAAACACAGGCACATAAAGTGAAAAAAGTGGTTTTGGAGTTACTTCAGGCATAAGTTGCACAAACTGAGTCAAGAAATTACTTTTCTAATTTATTATGTGAAGTAAAGAGTTTTGCCTAAACACATTACTAAATGAATGAATTCTTGCTTAGCCTGAAACACAGGGGAAAAAAAATCCATGTAATAAATAATAATTGTGAAAAATGCCTTTACAAATTTAACTGTGTCAGTTGGTCTGATCTGGAATGGTTCTTAAGAACTTGCTCAGTTAAACAAGTTAGATTTTGCTTTGCTTTTTTGTAACAAGGTATCTTTCTTCTGAAATCAGATATGATACATGTAAAAGAAGGCAAAAAAAAAAAGGAAAACTCTCAAGTATTACACTGGTTTCATTTTCTTTTACACTAACATTAAATACTAAATAACAAAGGTATTAAGTAAACTTGGAAATAAACACATTTTATACACAATTTAAATTTAATGTCTACAGAATATCTGTATTTTTGGTAAATAGAAGTTAGTATAGCAAACTTATCCCCAATATAATTACATTTTAGGCATAAATGTGTGCTGCTGTATAGCTGTTATTCATACGAGTCACCAAAAAAAAACCAACAACCAAAAAAACCTAGAATAGTATGTGTTGTCCATGTGCTTAGGCACTGAAGTATCTGCATCTGTCACCAGGGAGGGATATCTAAACATTAGATAACAGCTAGGGAAAACTTCGGCTTGTCACCTTATTTCTGGCAATATGAGACTCGCAGAAGATGTCACTGATGAATGCTGTGGTTTCTGTTTCCCTCCTCAGGTGAGGAGTCACTTACAATTTTTGTGGACAAACGGAAGCTGAGCAAGAGGTCAGAAGGAAGTGATCCCAGCACGAACAGCTCTGTGGTGACCCTGGAGACCCTGCACCAGCTCGCAGCCTCCTACTTCATTGACAGGGACAGCACACTGCGCAGACTCCACCACATACAGATTGCCTCCACTGCCATAAAGGTAGGGGAAGTCTTCTAGGACCAACCTGCAGATGTGTTTCCAGATTCACTACCTGTTTCTCAGGAGAAATGTATTTTGATTAGTAAAAAAGGATCTGTTAGTAGAACGATAATTTTTGTTCTAAACTTTTTTACCTGAATCAAAGCATTCAATTGATAATGAAGATTCTAGTTTAGAAGAGGATCTAACGCAGTAAAGGTATTACTTTTGATGAGTGATACATAACTTGAATGATACAGGTGGTCCTTATAGAGGTGTTTGGTCTTTGAGACAATCTCCTTTACATGTCTGTCAGCAACTGCATTTATAGACAGACTCATATTTGTGTACAAGCACATACACTTCCCTCATATTTCTTTTCTTCTTTCTTTTTCTTCCTTTTTTCCCAAACATGGTTATTGTACTCCTGTGACTGAAACATTAATTTTTTGTTTGTTTGGTTTTGGTTTTTTAAGTAAACTTTGGAACAATTTGGAGTTCTTTCTTCTGCAATTTTGTGGAGGCACATCCTATTTTCTGTTAGGAATTTCTTTTAGTATAGTTTATTAGTCAAAGCATCCTGCCTACTGACTGCTGTAGGTCACTCATAGCACTGGAGGATGCTTGGCTAAGATCAGAGCCCTGACAGGTATAATATAAAGCACAACTGTTCTTTTGAGCAGCTCTCTAGCCTAATGTTGCTTATTTGAAAAAAACCTCTCTCAGTCCATTTCCAGCATTGAAGAGCAAATAAAATTTTAACTTGCAGTTGAATATGCATTAATTATGAAGCTTTTAATGTAAGATGTGATTTAGAATCCATTCTGTTCATTGAATCTTTCCACTGGTAACTAAGGTCTTCATTAAAGACCATTGGAAACCAACTGCAGTTTCCAACTACCTTAGCTGTTACTCAAGTAAATGTAAATTTATCTCCTTGGGAG